GAAGCAGGCTCCAGGCTCTGAGCTGTCAGCACAGAGCCTGATGCAGGGCTTGAACCCATGAACCACGAGATCATGACTTGAGCTGAAGTGGGATGCTTAACTGATTGAGCCACCCAGGTGCCCTTATTTTAAAAATTAAAAAAAAAAGTTTATTATTTATTTTGAAAGAGAGAAAGAGCATGGGAGAGGGGCAGGGGGGAGAATCTCAGGCTGTACCGCCAGCACAGATCCTGATGCGTCAATCCATGTGAATGCTGAATTCACTAGCCAAAACCAAGAGTTAGATGCTCAACCAACTGAGCCACCCAGGTGCCCCCATCTGGGTTCTTAATAGCTCATGCCATGTCTGTCAGGGATAATGATACTTAGGGTCCACCTGCTGACTTGATCGATGCTGGTAACAAGTGACTTGTCTGGAATCTGCTGACCATACAGGCATCAAGCCCATCCTGCTGATTTTTTTCTATGGAGACAGTTCTCCCTCCAGCAAGTGTGTGAGTTTGTGAGTGTGTGTGTGTGTGTGTGTGTGTGTGTGTGAGAGAGAGAGAGAGAGAGAGAGAGAGAGAGAGAGAGAGAGAGGTACTTGTGCTTGTACATGAGTATGAGTGTTGTAACTGGAGTTGCAGCTCAAAGGAAAAGAAAAGCAGTTTGCTCAGTGGGGTATGTGAATGGAGGGGTAGCTGTGGCCTTGGTTACCAGGGAAGACTAGTCAGCCCTCTTGTCTCCTGCCTCCTTTCCCCCCTCCTCCATATTCCCCCTAGCCCCAGGCTCACTCCTTCAGGTTAATTTCCCTGGCTGCAGCTGTGACTCCCTCCTCCTCCTCCCCTTTCCCTCCCCTCTCCATCTACCACACACACAGGCTTTGAGTTATGTGCCTCCTGTTCTAATGAGATAAACAACATAACTCTCACGGGGCTGTGCTCGTCCCTCTATAAGTGGAACTCCAGGGCTGAATGCATTGGCCCTATAAAGGCACCCTGGTGCTCGTCAGCCTAGGGAGGAGGGCAAGGAAGGGGGGCTAGAGCCTCGAGAGAGTTCTTGGGGTCATTTGCTTGTTGAGATGAGGTGGAGTCAAAGCAGACATCAAAGAGAGGCCTATTTCTACCCTCATGGCTAGAGGAGCAAAGAGCAGCATGGGCACGTGGGGTGGGGGCCTTGTCATGCCACATGGCCATAGAGTCCAGATTCGTCTATGTCCGCTAACTCATGATAATTAATAACTGACGTTTGCACAAGGCTTCATGGTTATAAAGAGCTTCTTCTTGAATATAAGCGAATGCCTACAACAGCCCCTGTAAGGTAGGTACTATTAACACTCTTATCTAATGGGCAAGGAGACAGGGTCAGAAATGTGTGGTAATATTTCCAAGGTTACAGGATTGGTGGTAGGAGGACTCATGCTCTTCCTCTGCATCACAGGGCTTCTGTAATCCATCAGAGAAAGTTAAAGAATGAAATAAAAATAGTCCCATCTTCTGGCCATTCGGACTACTTAATCCCAGGAGAGTGAGTGGGTCTGCAGCTATAAACGGAGGGGCCCGAGGCTGCCTTGGTGTTGCTGACCAACACGTGCAGTGACCACAGTCTCAGGGAGGGCATAGGCCCTTGGGCAAGTGTTGACAATTTTGACCTCTTGTCATTTAGATCTTTTGAGAGTGCTGGTCTGGACCAGTCCCTTCTTACTCACCTGCTTTTGGTCAGGTTGGAAATACTTTGAAGCAGCCTGTGGGGCAAGAAGGAGCCTAAGGCATAGAGACTGCCATCTTGGGGTGGATTCTGTGCTCACTTCTGAGCCTGCCTCTGGGGTCCCTCTTGGATGGTTTGAATGTGGGTGGATGAGTCTCCTGGAACCAGGAATAGTAGGTCATTCACTTTCTGCATTTCTGAATCTGATTCAGTTCTGGTTAAATTTATTGGTAAGTACTTCTTGAGGTGCCTACCGGGTACTGTGCTAAGTACGGGGGATACCAGAGATGGGCACGGTTCCTGTCATTCTGGATTTTATAAAACGAGTAGGGGAGACATTCTAGTAAGCAGGCAATTAATGACAACACCTTGGGGGAAACACTGGGAACCTTGAGACACTTTAGAGAAGGCCATTTAACCAGTTTTGGTATATCAGAGAGGACATCTAGGCAGTAACTAGATGATGCTTAGACATCCAGAGGTCCTTGGTCAGACACTGGAACAATCTATAAGGTTCTTGAAAAAATAGTTGGCCCAATTCTCCCACCCACTTAAATTCAGATTGGGTAGGTCTGGCATGAATTTTTGGTCTTGAGGTTATTAAGAAGTTCTCCAGGTAAGGGCACCTGGGTGGCTCAGTTGGTTAAGCATCCAGCTGTTGGTTTTCGCTTAGGTCACGATCTCGCGGTTTCATGGGTGTGTTTGAACCCCATGTCGGGCTCTGTGCTGGCAGCATGGATCCTGCTTGGGATCCTCTCTCTCCCTCTCTCTCTGCCCCTCCCCCATCGCACTATTTCTCAAAATAAATACATAAACTTAAGGAAAATTAAAAAAAAGAAGTTCTCCTTGTAATTTTTGGGTTCAATCTGGATTAAGAATCACTAACCCAATGTTATATTTAAGTGATGGATCGCTAAATTCTATTCCTGAAATCATTATTACACTTTGTTAACTAACTTGGATTTAAATAAAAAAATAAATTAATTTAAAAAATCTACTAAGAACAGAATCTCAATACATTTAATTTGTGCTTAATACTTATATTATGTAGATATAATACTGAACATAACTGAATAATAAGCTGCTATAATTATAATTGATTTCTGTGTTCTTTTTTATTATTATTTTATTGAGGTATAACTGATAAATAGAATTGTAAGATAGTTAAAGTGTAAAAAAAAAAAAAAAGAATCACTAACCCAAGATGAGTAGGGATTGCTGGGACCTGTTTATGGGATGCAGAGTACTGGGTCAGCCTTTGTACTTGGCCTTTGTTGGGATCATGGGGAATAGCAGGCCTTAGAGGTGGCTCAAACTTTGGGAAGACATCAGAATCAATGCAGCCATACAGGAGTTCTAGGGTCAGAGGTGATAGGATCATGGAGTGAATCACATCAAAAACATTGAACTATTCCCAGTGATGCCTTCCCTCAAAGAGAGGTCAAAACTGGACCTTCCATGGGAGGGAGAGCAGCCTTACTATGATTCATTTAATCTTCTCTAAATCAACCACAAGTCTGGTCCTCAGAGAACGGGGAGCTCAGAGCTTCTGGATCCTCCCACTGTGCAGAAGCTATGAAGCTATCAACAAAATTAAGTATTGGGATGACTCTTGGACACCACAAGTCCTTAGCTCATGACACCAGAGATTTTTCTGGAGCCTCTAGGCTCTATGACCCTTGATGGTTTCTGAGAACCAAAATGCGGAGGGGTAGGGACCTTCAGCTGCTTCACAGACTTACAACCTGTGGGAACAGCTGTGCAATTAAAAATGAAACTTAGCACATAAAGAGAATTTGAAAATTTTGGTTCCTTTAGTACTGGAATAGTTGTCTCTGCTTTGGAACCCAAACAAATGAATGGGTAGAGATGACTAGTAAAAATGAGAAATGAATAAATGGATATATAGCAATGAAAGTTTTGTAGATTTTCCCAACAAATGGTCCCCAAATGGCAGACAGCAGATGGAAATAGGGTCCTGATATCTTCTAAGCCCCATGGTCCTAGGTTTAGGAAATGACCTCCTCACATAGGTCTGACAGTTGTCACAGGCCACATTTATCTACAGAAGACTGAGTTGTGACTAATTAAATGAAGCTGGAATGTATTCATTCACTCACTCATTCACTCATTCATTCATTCATTCATTCATTCATTCAGCAAATGTTTAGTTTGATTCTTCTATGTGTCAGGCACAGGTCTAGTTCTGGGGATTCTGATGAAAATAAGACAAAGTCCCTGTTGTCACCAGGCTTTTTACTCTAGCAGGAGTGGACTGCTTGACTTGGTGGTTTCTTTTGGGTGTATCAGGCAGTTTTTTTAGTCTGCACGTTGCCTAACTAGTCTTAAGCCCTCCTCCCTCTCCTCCCAGCCTCCACCCCATGTCTTTTTTTTTTTTTTTTTTTTTTTTTTTTTTTTTTTTTGGAATAGACCGTTGTCTACTGTGGAAAGTCCACATTCCTCCAACGCCTCTGGCTACCACACTATGTGCCACAGGAGCCATAAGACTGTGGTCTGATAAGCAGGGAGGATCCTCATGGGGTGGTTGGTATGACAGATGATGCTGGTGTGGAACTTTGTTGCCAGAGTTCAAATCTAAATGGAGACTCTTGAGAGACAGTATGGTTAGTATATAAGCCCAGCCACTGGACTCTTGTCCATTTCTTCCTGTAAGGCCCAGGCAAGTGGGCAGGGTTGCACATGTATCCGGGCTCTGCAGGAATGAGTCCAGAGCATGGTCACCAGAGTAGGCTTATATTCTGATGGGGGTTGCTTAGGGCTCCCATTGGGTTTAGCAAACTGCCAGCAGCTAACAGTGGGTGGAGAAAGCCAGTAGGTAGGAAATCTGGCTCCTTGATCCTGTTTCCTTGAAATGCTTCTCAATCCAGGCTGTCGATAGGTAGGCAGATTGACTTCTGCTGCTTTGCCTTGAAGGGAACCTCCTTAACCTGGACCTGGATAGAGGAGCAGTTGATGGGTAATACCTAGGGGTCCACTGCCTTGGAAACACTGCAGTGCAGTTAAATCTGGAAAGGTCCCTCTGATCTCCCAGACCAGGAGATCTGAACTGTCTTAGTCATGGTGATGGCGTAGGCTTACTGAGACAGCATGGTGGAGTAGACAGAGCAAGGGTCCTGGGGTCAGATGACTTAATACTGCTTGTGCCCTACCATCAACCAGCTGTGTGACCTGAAGTCACTTTACCTTTCTGGGCTTCAGTTTCCTTTCACTGTGAGGGAGAGGGTCAGACAAGGAATTTTCCAAGGCCCCTTCTAGCCTGGAGCCCTTAACCTTTATGCTGTCTCTATCCACAGGCCTCGCTCCGGGCCAGCTATACACATACCCTGCTCGTTGCTGGCGTAAGAAGAGACGATTGCACCCACCTGAGGATCCAAAGCTTCGGCTGCTGGAAATAAAACCTGGTCAGTGCCCTCTGAAGCTTGGTTGGGCCCATGGTGGGAGAGGTGGGAGAAGGCTGGGCTGGCCCAGGACAAGTTTGCTTTGCTCCTTTGTCTATAGAACTGAGTTCTCTGGGAGACTGAACCTGCCCCGTGGTGCCCAAAGGTGTTCCTCTGTGCCTTCTCTCATGTGTAAACATGTGTATGTGTTCACCTGAGTGTCTCTTTCCTGTGGTGTCTTGTGCCTTCTCTTTCCTCTTGTCTCCCTCTTGTCACTCCTTGGAGTAAAGCAAGCCGGCAAGGGTGGGAACAGACCCACGAGGAATGCCTTTCCAGACTAGAGCCGAAGGAGCTATAGCTCCTTTGGGTTGTGTGACACTTCTTGTGGCCTCAAGTGAAGAAACCTTCTTCTAGCTTCTGTGTTTCTAAGGAGAGCATACCCCTCGCCCCCTTAATGTGAATGAACTTCAGGAGCTTCTTACCCGAGAAGGGCCACTTGCTGAAAATAGAACCCATCTTGGGCATGGAAATGGAAGAGTCTGAGTTCAAAATTTGCCTCTTGGTGATTGCTTGTGGCCACGCAGAAGGAATTGGTTAGTTTTCTTGACTACTGATCTGTTATAACCCTTCTGACTAGACGGCCATCTTCAAAAAAAATTTTTTTTAATGTTTATTTGTTTTTGAGAGAAAGACAGAGAGACAGAGACAGAGACAGAGTGTGAGCAGGGAAGGGGCAGAGAGAGAGGGAGACACAGAATCTGAAGCAGGCTCCAGGCTCTGAGTTGTCAGCACAGAGCCCAATGCAGGGCTTGAACCCGCGGACCGCAAGATCATGACATGAGCTGAAGTTGGATGCTTAAGCGACTGAGCCACCCAGGCGCCCCTAGATGGCCATCTTCAGACCTGGGTCTGAGTTGCAGAAAGGCCAAGTGATTGCCTTGGGTCTTTAGCCTTAAAGGAACCTCTGGTTTTGGAGGTGCAAGGGCTGCAAAGTGTCTCAGGCTGGTGTGAACAATGCTGTTCAGTGGAACAAAGGCACAGCTGGCATTTCCCCTCACCAAATAATACAGACCTGGCTGCCTTAGGTTACTAGGCTGCCCAAGGTTACTTCACTCCTGCCTTTCCACACTGACGTCTGAGGCTGTGTTTTCTCTGCAAAATCTCTATTTACAGTTGCTTGGGATGCTTTCGCTCCCGGTTCTATGGTTAAGCCTGTATTGATTGTTTATTTTAACCCAGATTTCATTCTTGTAGAAGTTTTATTTGTTAGAGATGGGGGTGGGGTGGGGACTAGGGTTTTCAGTGAGCTCCATCCAAGATTTCAGCGGCCCTGCAGAATTTACAGACCCTTGCAGACACTTCAGGGTGATGACTGAGGTCATTCCAAACTTCCCGAGGTGCAGGTTGTAGGAGAGCCAAGTCTCCCCCAGCGGTATAATCTAATGGAAAGATAACGCAAGCCACATGTATCATTGTATACTTTCTAGTAGCCACACTGAACAAAGGAGAAAGAAACAGGTGAAGTTAATTTTAAGTATGGATTATATTCAACCTAAAATGGCCATAATATTATCATTTTAGCATGTAATCAATGTAGAAATTATGAGTCAAGACATTTTACATTTTTTTCTTGTATTTTTTTTTTTTTTTTAACTCCAGTGTTATATTTTACATGTTTAGCGCATCTCCTTGCAGACTAGCCACATTTCAAGCGCTCGGTTATCACATGTGGCTGGTTGTGCCCATATTGGTTGGAGTGGTTCTAGAACTACACTCACAGTGTGCTCTTGATCGGCAGCACAGCATCCCCAGGGAGGTTGGGACAGATGTCGAATCTTGGGCCTCACCCCAGACCTGCTAAATCAGAATCTGCATTTTACCACCTCCCCAGGACTGCGTTCCCACAAGGCACACTGAAGTTTGGGAAGCAGTGGTTTTAAAGTGCTTTAAAGGTGGCCAGACCACAGGTTGGCATGGCATGACTTCGCATCATCCGTGTTTCTTTATTAAACCTGAATAATTGTTGATATGAGCAATTTATTGTGGAGGTGGGGACGTCCTCCTTCTTTGTTCCAGAATCATCCATCCTGTTCTTCTGGAAGTGCCATGGATGAGTGAGGTGGTAATCCCTGACTTGGTCCTTGCCTGGACCAATTGAATTCTACCCCACTCAGAGCTTTGCAGTAGGTGCTGCAGCCAGCGGCTGAGTACGTGCTGGGTTGGCTGTGCGGATTTTGAAGGGAGGGTGTTATTTAGGTGTCCTGTCACCAGCTGGATGTGTCTCCATGTTGGAGTACGTGGACCCTCTGGGTATATTTCCCCATCAGTTAATCAGAGGTACCAGGTTTTTGAGATCTTTAAGAGATTTTCTATGCACACACCAAGAAGTACATCCATATGACCTTTTCCTCGTCTTTTGACCCAGCACAGCCACCTTGCATTTTGCCCATTCCATTTAAAAATGTGCCTCAGGCATTGGCCATATCAGCATATAAGGAATTTCCTCATTCCATTTTTACAGTTACACAATATTCCATTGTATGAATATACCACAGCTATTTTAACCAGGCCCTCTCAGTTTTTGTTTCTAATTTTCCCAATTTAATCGGAGATGTGGTGAGCATTTTCATGTTCATATATGAATTCATATTAAATTTCCTATGTGAGGCTATCTCCTACGTAATTTGTTAGTTTAAAAGATTTTATTACAAATACTTGACATTAATTTTTAATTGTTAGTCTTTACTCTTAACATTTGTAGAGAAATTCTTTCTTAAGACCACTTTGTATTAGACTAATTGGATTGTCTTTTATGGGACCAAAGATATTTCGTGCTATAAAATAACTCAGACAGCATTAACTCCAATTGCCTATTTTGAGAGGTCCAGGCAGGTTAGGAGATGTACTCAAAGTCACACAGCAATTCCTGTGGGAATAGGCATAGAATCCACATTGGTTGATTTCTCTGTTCAGTGCTTTTTTTCTGCTTCTTCATGCCCTCAGAGGTATACTAAAAAAAAAATTCCCTTAAAAACTTTATTTTATGATTATGAAACTAACATATAAGTGATTAAAATGCATCCAAGAGATAGTTGGAATTCTCCTTTAGTAATAAATGTCAGATGCACAAATCAAAGTAGCCTAAGGAAAAAAATAGGGAAGTTGGTCCATATAACGGTAAATCTCAGAGTTGTGCTGGTTTCAGGCATAGCTGTATCCAGGGGCTCAAACATTGAAGTGAGGGCTCTGTGTCTCTTTCCACCTCTAACTCTCGTCTCCTTGTGTGGGAGACAAGGTGGCCATCAGCAGCCCCAGGCCCAGCACTCATTACCCTCAGCAGAAAGCAGTCCCCTTCGAGAGCTGTGGCAGAGAAGTGGCAGGAAGGACTGATTAGCTGGCTGAGTTTATGTCTGCCCTACCAATCACTGCCACCCAGGGGATGGAGAACCCTGATTGAATCATCATCGTCATTATCATAACCAGTGTCTGAACAGCACACTGTAATTTACAAAGCCCTTTACAAAGCATTTTCATTTATAGCATTTCCTTTGGTCCCTACCAGAGCCCTGGGAGGTGGAGAAGGAAGGAAGGGATAAAAGTGGAATAAGCCCACTTTATATGTTGGGGAAATCAGGCTGTGGGCAGAGCCAAGGAAGGTTTACTGTGCTGCTCACATATCTGGGAACTGACAGTCTCATTGTTGGTGAGACTGAGTAAGAAGTTATTTTATGAGTGTCTGGCCCTTTTGTCTACAGACATTTACTTTGAGCACACTGGCCTCCCAGTGGCTGACTGTGGAGCAGCTGGCATCACAGCTGGCTTTGGACTTGCCCCATCCTTGGGCCTGCCATGACCTGTAGGGGGTGGGAAAAGGAAGAATCCTAGGGCTGGTGGTTTGCTGGGGCCAAGTACCCACCAGTGCCTCATGTCCCCATGTCTGTCTACGATTATTTGTAAGATTTCCTTGGGCTCTGCCCTCATGCTTGGGGCAGAGGCTGAGGTGGCTGTTCCAGATCTCAGGGTGGTGAAGACCCAGAGCCCAAGTCAGCTAGGGTCCGATGGGAGGGCCCTCTCCGGAAAAAGTGAGCACCAGCTTGTTGAGGATGTGCCCTCGGAGGCGTAACCATATCCCGATGTGGCAAAAGATCCTAAGTAAGTTGGGCTCACCCAGGGCAGGCTCATTCTCCCGTGCCAGAATCCAGGCTGGCAGTAAACATCCAGGCCTGGAATAAATAACTTTTCGAATGACAGAGCTCTTTCTCAGATGAACTGGTTTCTCCTCTTTGGGGGATCAGATCTACTGCTAAGCCAGCTAAAAACAAAAACCCCAATGCCTTGGGCCAAAAGTGTGTCATTTCCACATACCGTTCTGAGTCCCGACTCCTGGGGCCAGGCTTTCAGGCTGTACCACCACACCGGCCTGCCACCACAGGCTGTGAATGAAGATGCCAGGAGAGTGCCTGAGAGTAGGTGATAAGGAACCTAAGCCTCGGACCTCAAAGCGTCAGGGTCCATCTAGAGAATGCTAAGCAGCGTGTATCATTCTCTTCCTAGAGGCGGCTCCCATTTGAAATGGAATTTTTCACACAAGCCAAAATGTCAGAAAAGGGCCTTCATCCAGGGCCTCAGCTAGCCTGGATGGCATCTTTGTGCAGCAGTAGAAGGCGCCCCCTCTGGGCGGACATTTATAAAAAATGATGTCCCTTTTGGTGGGTTAGTAGAGCTCAAGCTGGATCTCAGCCACTCTCTGTCTGTCCCCTTGGCAGGTCCCCACCTTTCAGCGGCTCTGCCTCATCGTTTATAAAATGCAGTTTCCAGCTGAGAGGACTCTTTCCCTTTTTTTTGGATATTATGTCTTCCCCAGCACCGGGTCAACTTGGACAATATTTTAAAATGACTGTCTCTTATTTTTACTCCTTTTGATTTGGGTTCAAAGAGAATGAGGTGTTTGGGCAGGTAGTTTTGAAGGTGACTCAGAGTAGAGTCACGGTCAGAGTCCCCGGACCGTTTGCCGCAAATTCCTA